TTTTTTTATTAGTTAGAAGGGATTTTAATATTTAAGTAAGATTGTAATGAAATATAATTTAAAATTTTATTTTATTTTGTGAAACTTAAATTTTGTAATGTTTGACTAAAAATTCATTTTTTTAGATTACTAAAACATACAAAGTTGGAATTATGTATTGCAAAGCAAATCAGTCGACAGAAGAAGAAATGTATAATAATGGTAAAATGAATAATCAAAACATTTATTTATGAATATATTATATATAAACTAACTTTATAATAATTATCATGATTAATTAGAACATTCAGGACCAGCATTTGAAGAATTTTTGGATATGTTAGGAAAACGTGTTCGATTGAAAGGTTTTGACAAATATAGAGCAGGTCTTGATAATAAAAGTGAGTATTTAAATTAGTTTTTTCAATGATGTTGCATTTTAAGAAAATTATTAAAAGTAATATAAGGAATTCAATAAACTTTAAGAGAGAGATTCTAAAATTTTTACAAAATTTTTTTACTAATTACTTTTATTGTTATTGAGTATATCTCTGGATTTTTTCAATGGAATCCTGAATTTTTAATTTATATATAATACAAACAGAAGTTGGGTACATTTTATCTATTATCTCATCAAAATACAATAAAAATGTTTAATGTAATTATATATGAGATTAAAGTAATTTGTAAGACTAGACATTATTCATTTATGTTGCTCTTACAGTTAGATATAATAATGCATGATTCTAACATGTTGAAGAAAGTGTCTTTGCCCTGAAGAAGCACAGAATTTCCTATTACAACATTTCCCAAACTTTTTCAGCTAGGGACAAGTAGTTTTCAGTGTTGGTGGGTAGACAGCATTTTGCATTAGCTGTCTTTGCTTGTTTTTGTGTCAAGAGAGCTTATAACATTGAAAATGCTAAATTCTTGCAATGCATACAGTAGTTCTAATCATTCCAATAAGCCAGAAAACAAAATATTTTATTTAATTAATTTTTGCTTGATAGAATACATATGTATAAAGTGTGGCTTACTGAAATGAAAAGAAAAAAGTTACTGTAAGTTATGTGAACCGCCGGGGAGGTCAGAAACCGTCGACTCTCCCTTTTCGGCGTCAGGTCGTTAAACCTGCTCACTTGTCAAGATGGCTAAATTTCGGATGCGGTCCCGAAGGGTCGGGATTTTTGTTGTCAGGTTGAGTGGAGGAGGTGAGAGGGGTCGTTGACGAGGCGTAGGCGATATACGAGTAAAAGGACACCATTTAACAATGAGAACAACAATTTATTGGACTAACAAGAACGTAATTAATGATTACAAAACCTAACATCGGGGGGAGTGAATTTATTTCGCCTAACTCCTAACTCGCGGAGAGAGAGAGTTTACATTCATCGTTTCATACCTCTAGTCGATTCCAACGTAGGCACAGAGTTCGACACATAAAGTTAAAGTTCCCAACGACTTAATCCTTTTGGACGGTAGATGTGAGACTCCCCCGAGGAGGGGGAAAGAAGTCGCTTTTATAGCTTCGGGCTGGGAAAATCAATCATGTGATCACCTATTGTGAGAGATAGGGTTGGTCCTGCAGGACCAACCCTATCTCTCACAATAGGTGATCACATGATTGATTTAGAGAGATAGGGAGTTAGAGAGATAGGGAGTTAGAGTTAGAGAGATAGGGTTGGTCCTGCAGGACCAACCCTATCTCTCACAATAGAGGTCAAAGTTGTTCCCGGGATCCAAAACAAAATGACAAATTCGGACTTTAACTATAAACTTTTTGTTTTGCAGCAGGGGAATGTCATTGTTCGAGGGTTGAATGTTTATACTAAAGCGGAATGTTATAAGTTTCCATCGACATTTGATTCTTTTTTTCGACAATGTTATTTTAACGCGGAGGCGACAAATTTATTTTAAATACGTCAAAAATTTAGGGGGAAAATGAACAATTTTGGGCTTATTCTGAGGTCGGATCTCACAGTTATATCATAAGATTTTTTTCTTTACATTTTGGAGAGAAAAACATTTTGAAGTTGAAAATATTACAAATAAGAATAAATTAGAAAATAATTAGATTTCAACAAAATTTGTACTTTAAGTGAATGCTAAAGAGTAAACATCAATACTGGTAACATCAAAATGACGTCATTTTCATGTTACCAGTATTGATAAGTCTCTGTTATCTCTACTATAGTATTTGAGATATTAGTTTCAATGGTATTAACTATATATTGAACACTTTTTGTATAATACATTTTATATTAATATATATACATATTTAACATTATAACATTAGTTACACTAATGATAACCACCTATTATTAAAAAATGTATACATTTTAAAGTTAATAGAAATTTCTTAGATTGTTTTCATTTACAATTACTTAAAAACTGTAAATTATTTGAATGTAGTTCATATAAGAATTTGGTTACTGAACAAATATCAATACTACTTATTCATCATCCATAGAATTATAGCTGTTACATTATATATATATTTTTCATTTCTGTTGATATTTTACTATATATTTTTTTTTAATTGAAAATATTAACCAATATAATTTCATTATTTTTTATTAATATCTAGTTAATTAAACATGATTATTAAAATAATTTGAAGAAATTTCTAAATATTTGCATTAAAATTTGCTCAAATTATATGCACAGTACATCAGAAAGATCACAAAAGTTACAAAAAAAATTAGTGGAAAATTATTTTATATATAAAATATATGAAATTTAGAGTTATATCAAAATGTATTGAAATTTAATTCTAAATTCTGAATGTTTATAATTTCAAACATATTTTTGTAAGGTACAACAGAGTACTCTCTAAACTTACAAATATATTTAAATAAATAAAATATAAATTGCATGCATGTCAAACATTCAGTGGTGTTTTATAGTGTAAATTTTTTAACGTGGTTATGCTTTATATTTTCAATGTAATTTGATTATAATTTTAGGAAAAAAATGCAGCAAATATTTGACCTCTGTTAAATATTTGTTCTAAATTTTCAGTTAATTTTAGATTAAACATGCAAATATTTTATAAAGAAAATTAAAATTATTCTTTTAGGGCTGATTACAAAATTTTCTTTTAATGTTGTAAGATGATGGCTTTTTGTTTTATATATTAGTTTTATATGGTAAAATTATATTAGAGTAACTTAATTAAATTATTTTGATGTTTTATTTAACATAATTTTAAAATATATATATTTTAACAGCTGATACAACTGGTTTATATTCTATATACTCTGTATATCAGGACTGTGAAGTTATGTTTCATGTATCAACAATGTTGCCCTATACTCCAAATAATAAACAACAGGTAATAATTATAAATAATATATAATTTTATACTAAAACTTTAATTTTATTAAACAGAAATTCAGAACTAAAATTGTTTATACCTTTCTATTGGTAAATACTATTAATTAGTGTTTAAATAAACAAGTCCACAATTGGAAATTTTGGCTTTATTGACTATACATTTAAATGTATAACTTGACTTGTAACTTAATTAATTGTAATTCTTATTATAAATTAAAAGTAATTTATCAAATGATGTTTGCCTGCTGTCTTTTCTTTTTGCAAGTTGTCTTTAACAGCTAGCATAAAATTGAAGTAAGAAATTCCAGAAACTGCTGTACTGTAATGATCAAAATGATAAATGTTTAATGATCAAAGCACTGGTTAAGATTGATAATGATAACTGGTAACAATTGTGTTATCAGTAGCATGAAAAAATAGTTTAAAAATGCATATTTTAACTTGTTTTTTGGGACATAATAATTCTGGTAACATTAAATGACTTATAACAATATCCATGATTACACTAAGTTAATTCTATTGTATGTGCAAAATTTAGATCAGAAATTTACTGCTAAATAACATAGATAAAATTGAACAATTAATTATTAGTCTTTTTTTTTATTATTATTTTAAAATAAATTATTAAATTTGTAAGATATGTCATAAAATTAATGAGTGTTTTTTAAATTCATTTTCAGTTATTAAGAAAGCGGCACATTGGAAATGACATTGTTACTATTGTATTTCAAGAACCTGATTCATTACCTTTTACTCCAAAAAATATACGTTCTCAATTTCAGCATGTATTTATCGTTGTAAGAGCAATCAATCCCTGTACTGACAGATCATCTTACAGGTAAAATATATCACATATATGTATTTAGTTATTAAAAATTTTATTAATTTTCTTTAAATATATAAAAATGTAATAAACTACTTTTAATCTTTAAAATATGTGATAAGTTTACTTATACATTTTATTATATTATGAATACAGATATTAAACATGAATGATATGCATATTATTTTAAGTAAACTTTGTTTTGATAAACTAATAAAGTTTATAAAGATTATCTTGACTATCATGAGCAAAAACATAAATACTTTCTGGATTTAAAATTTAAATCATTATATACAGAGATTATCAAACTGTATGAAGATTCTGTTAGTATTTAATGTATTTTAAGTTTGCATAATTTTTGTATAATGTATTTTCTCGTGTTAATATAATAATTTAAAAATTCCATGTTCAAACATTCAAACATAAAACAACATTTTGAAATTTATATTTGTCAAAACTGACAAATTGAAAGTCAAACTCACTTTTGATTTAAGTATTATAATGTAAATTTAATTTTAACTGACAGACAATTTTTATTAACTTTACATTAAACAATTATTCCTAAACAACTTTTTTAACATTAAATGAATATGTTTTAAAAGTTTTAAATATATTTTTAAAACTTTTCTAAAATATAAATGTTAATTGTATAATGAAAATATCTAAAGATATTACAGAATGTTTAAAATTTGTTTATTGAAAGTTTTTGTATATTTATGCATTTTGGATTGTCCAAGAAAAAAAGTGATGTATTTGTAAAATTAATTTACACAAATTAATAAAAAATAATTTACTGTAAATTATTTTTTACTTTCAAATTGTGTTATTCATACACATTTGAAAATAAAAAGGGGCATAGTGAAGAGTAGCCAGCCCCATCTTGTTGCCACCATATATCCATTATGTCATTTTTTTCACATGGAATAGAGTAAACAGTATCTCTAATTAAGTTGAAGTATGTTTTACTGTTTACTGTAATACTTTGAAAAAGAATAGGCTTATGAGACCAGTTTTTTGGTCATATTCAATGACTTTGTTTGGATTGTTGGTAGCCCAATATATGTAATTGTGCCCATTAATGCTTCCAGACAAGTGAAATTTGGTTTAATCAATCTACATGGCATGTTATTCAAATCCGAATTCTTTTGAAACTTTCAATTCATTCTTTTGTAAACTGCATGTACCTATCAGGATCATCCTCATGGAGGGCATAAATTAGCCTCAGGTGGTATGGATAACACTTCATTTCATGTAAGATGCTTCAGAAATATCCACTTTAGCAGACAGGTGTCTGGCTGACTTTGACTTTTCAGAGAACTCTCCAGTTCATTAGCAAGTTGTTGGTTTTATTGCACAGAAGCAGGCCTATCTGAACAGGGAACATATAACATGCATCCTGTTGTTATTGAAGTGTTTGTTTGTGGAATATTGTCACATATTTTGGGATGGATCCCCAAATTCATCTTGGAGAATCTGTGACACTCAAACATTCTTGATTTCTGAATACAGTTGGACACAATAAATTCTCTTTTGTAAAGATACTCTTTCTGTTATTGTGATCAAGAAGTACTTTGGGTGTGGAAATATCAGAAATAGAAGGCTTGTCACTACTTATGTCAAGTTTTTTTTCTCAACACTACAATGCTTCAAACATTCAACAACTTCAACAACTACTTCTAATGCATCTTGAAGTAAGAAATTGTTTTATTAAAAAAAAACTTAAAACTAAAACAAAGATTGAGCAGAGGTTTTTTAAACTGGAGGTCTGGTGACTATAATTATTTATTATATAGCTACTTATTTTCAACCTCTTGTAAGAGCTTAAAATCATTATAAAAATCAAATACATCCTTGTTGGTTTATGGAGAATTCAAATAGTGCAAGCATTAACCTGTAATTTGACAATTAATTCACTTGTATTGACAAGTTAAATTATGATTTAGATTTAGGAATTAAATCTAGAATTAATATTTAGTGAATACTGAATTTAACTGAACTCACAATTTGAATATTTCTTTAGATTTAACTTGAAGTGATGAATACATCTATAAATGTTGCAGGTTTTATACCATCAACACTGTCTTTTAAGTAGTATAAACTAAAAATCCAGTGGAATTAAGTTTTGTACATTTTTAAACTTCCAGGATCACTTTAATATCAATTTTTATTGTTTAAGTGATACACACATATTAATAATGCATTATATATTCATCATTGCATGTATTCATTTCTTGGGTCATTTGAGTTCAAATGTTATTAAAAGATGATTTTTCTCATTTTCAGAGAAATATCAGTTTAAAATAAACATGATGTGTAAAATTATATGTAAAAAGTTGTTATAAATTTTAATATAAGGGTTAAAATTAAGTTAATTTTCTGAACTATATATTTCTTTATTAAAAATATGATTAAACTTTTTTAAAATTATTTCTTTAGTATTGCTGTAAGTCGTTCAAAAGAGGTTCCGGTGTTTGGTCCTCCAATTTCTGAAACAGCAACATTTCCAAAATCAAAAGCTTTTGCTGATTTTTTACTTAACAAATGTAAGGAAAAGATTTTATAATATAAAGTTTATTGTATATACAGTAAACCCTTAATGTAATAGATACCAATTTAATGGAAAAAATTTCTGTCCTATAGGAAAAATTTAAAATTTTTATTTATGAATAGTATATTCCAAAAGGTTGGAACATGAGTCAATGAGCATAAATTACGCAATGTACAGTACATTATATATTGAGTAATTTATGATTAATATAAATATAATATACATTATATTTTTTAATTCGTACTTACACATTGCAATAAATATTAACATATCTTTTAAATTTTAAATTTATTAATAATATATGTTTTTAAAACATTTGATTTAACAGACTTTTGGCACCCTCTTATCTCCAATTAGTCCATTAAATTAAGAGTTTACTGTATTTAGAAAAATAACGATAAATAGTAATATATAGAACCAAATTTAAAATAAAATATATAACTGAACAGTTTAAGATATAATAGTTCTTACATAATCTTTATTTTAAAACTAGTTTTTAAAGATTTAAGGGTTTTGGAACAAATGCAATGAACCTTAAATGAAAACTTTTTTCTAGCCATTTTTCTTATCCCTTCATAAAATTATTGTGTATTATACAGTATTGTAGATTATTGAATGTTACATCTTGATGTATCAACTTTGTTTTATCATATAAATTGAAATTTGGGTAATCATTGACCCAATTTAAACAATAATTGATTTATTTCACAATAATAAAAAGCTTAAAAAGAGCAAAACTTGATACTTTTTTTAGAAATTAATCAATTATTATAAAATATTTTTATTAAAACTAAGGTCATGATTCAATTTCATTTTTATTTTTTGTATTTTCAGCAAATTTAAACAATAAATTGTGAGAAATCTTAATTGCACAAAGTTATTATGCAATATTAGATAATAGTTGAAGATTCTGTAATTTATTTGCATTCAAATATGTAGAATGTAAAATAAAAATTTTACAAATTTTTTGTAAATATTTTATTAAATATAAAATTTATTATATAAGTTAAAATGGCTAATGTGTAACAAAAAATCAATTTTGATATTATATTATGAAACTAGAAAAATATTTCACTACTAAATATTGTACAGTAGAGCGTCGTTTATCTGAAAGCTGGTTATCTGAAACGTCCGTTATCTGAAAGCATTCCATTCGGCAAATTTAAATTTTCGCTAGTGCTGTGGCGCTGCAATCTTCGGCTATTTCTCGGGCTACTCAAATATTTTACATTTTTGATACTAAATTAACATCTGAAGTATAATTTTTTATTGTTTTTATATTTTTCAATAAATTTATTTTGTTTGTATAAAATAAAAAAATAATTTTTAACGATAGAATAGTCTTCGTTAGGCTTAACATTGACGAAAATTCAACACGAAGCGACATGCAACGGAGAGAAATTTCAACATGGGATAAATTAATATATTTTTTTGTACATGATTCGTTATCCGAACCACCCCAGTCCCCAATTGATTCGGATAAATGACGCTTTACTGTATATATTTTTTTATTTATAATTTTTGAATTTAATTTTGAGAAGTTAATTATCATTCAATTTAATTATTAAATAAGATGATTATTAACTTTTTAATTTTATAAATTTGAAAAAATACTTACTGTAGAGCGTCATTTATCTGAAAGTTGGTCAATTGAAATGTCGGTTAACCAAAAGCATTCTAGTCAGCAAATTTAAATTTCTGCTAATGCTGTGGCGCTGCAACCTTTGGCTATGTCATAAGATACTCCAATATTTTTTTTGTTGGTGTGTGTGTTTTAGCTGGCAGCACTGGCATTTTTGTGTGGTGATTTTCTGAAGACTGTGTATCATGCTGAATTGAACATTTTTGATACTAGGTTAACTTCTAAAGTATAATTTTTTTGGTTTTTATATTTTTCAATATATTTATTTTGTTTGTACAAAATAAAGAAATAATTTTTAATGATTATTACCACGATAATTATTATAAAGCCACGATTATATTATTATAGCCACGATTATATTATTATAGCCACGATTATTATTATAAAAATTTTCATTAGGCTTAACATTGACGAAAATTCAACACAAAGTGACATGTGATGGAGAAAAATTTCAACATGAGATAGGTTAATATATTTTTTTGTACGTAATCGGTTATCCGAAAAATAAGTTATCCGAACAACCCCAGTCTCCAATTGATTCGGATAAACAACGCTCTACTGTATTAAGTATTGTCTAATTTACTTACAGTAGATTTAGATCTAAATTTTTGTCTACAGTAAATCAGACTTTTGAGAATCTGATAATTTGATTATTTGGTTTTTTAATTATCTGGCATACACTCTAGTGCAGTGTTTCTCAAAGTGGGCGATAACGCCCCCTTGTGGGTGCTGGGGGCTTTCAGGGGGCAGTAGAAGGCTTAGTGATTAAATATTAGTTTTATTTCTTCTCATTGAAACATTCTTTGATCTCAGAAATAGGATGTGTGTCACACCCTATCTATCCTATCCATATAATAATGCATGTTCAAACATTATACTGTATTTGCAATAACTGTTTTTAATATATGCAATAGATGGTAATGTAAAAAGGTAAGTTAAAAATATGGGGGCACTAGATTTTTTTAATCTCAACGTGGGTGGTGGTTGAAATAAGTTTGAGAACCTGTGCTCTAATGTGATCACTTATGAAAATCTTAGTCGTGTGACAAATTCTGTTTTACAATTTTTTATTTGCAGACTTACATGTCAGTGTGTTATATTTTTTACCATCTACCTGCATGCCTCCAAAAGAAAAGAATTGGTATAAGGGCTGCAGGTAATGTCATTCATTGACTTTAGGCCTATACACTTAGTAATTTGGCATCTGCTCTATAGAAGGAATGGCTAGATTAGTGAGAGTCTACTGTATTTAAATTTTTAAAAAAATGAATTATGTCAGTATATAGCCATTTATATTGTTTTTCAATGGCTGTTTTTTAATATTTGTGCAATAGTTACTTAATAAATTGAAATTGCAAAGTTTATGAATTCTGAATTCTTTCAATTAATTGTATATTATATAAAATATATTGTTTTTAGTTAAGTATTTTTATTTTGAATAAAACAGTGTCCATGAATTAAATGACTATTTCTTTTAGTGATCAATGCTGAAAATGCTGCACATCGTTCAGAAAAGTTTGCAACTATGGCTCAGAGAACTCGACAAGAATATTTAAAAGATTTAGCAGAAAACTATTCAACAAACACCACTATTGATTCTGGTCCAAAATTCTGTAAGTAATTATTAAGATTACAAAAATAATTATTTTGAATAAGATTAGGAAAATCTTTCACACATAAAAAATTAAAGTTTAAAGCTTGCTTAAAATTAATGCTGATTTGTTAATAATTGACATAAAATAATAACAACAATACACTATGGCTATAATCATTATGGCTATTGGCACTGTAATTTTTTAAATTTCATATTGTGATTAATGTCTTAAGAATAGGAATACTGATTTGATGAATAAACTTCCTTAGCAAGACATGTTTCTTGTTATTGAAGTTTCAGATTTAATGATTGGAATATATATGTACATGTAAATATTATTTAATGTTTAATAGTTATATTTAAATACACACAATATGTATAAAATTTAGTACAAATATTATTATGGATGTTTTATTAATGATATTAATTTAAATAGTTTTCTATCAAATGTAAATTTTAAGAGTTTTTGCATAGAAAATAAAATAATTCAAGGAATTTTGAAAACTTTTTTAATGAATAAAATTTGTCTTACTTAAGATTACTTGCTTTTTATTTAAAGATTATGTATTATAACAATTTTCTATTTAATTTCAAATATTTATTAAATTTATAATAATTTTTTTATTACTTTTTTTAAAGCTATTTTATCTTTTACTGGAAAGAAGAAGGAAAGAATTAGACCTAGATTTATTCCTGATGCATATGTTCAAGGTGCTATTTCATGGCAAATTCAGGTTTGGTTTTTTGATTTGACATAATCTTGATTTATCCTGTGATTTAATATAAAAAAATATATTTATAATTATAATTTATTTATTTCATTATATATGTATAATGTATGACATTTGTTTTTATACTTTTATCTGTTTTATAGATAATATTATAAACCAGTATTTCTTACAAATTTTAGTTTGTAGAATTAAAAGATTATTGAAAAGAAGAAAAATAGACTACAATATGTTCATTTACAAATTGACTGTTTATTTTTTTTATCATACTTGAAATATTTGTCATAATAATATTTTTATCAATTTTTACATTGTACATGATTGTTAGTAACTGTCTGATTGCATTACTATATAATTGTATTAGGCTGTGTTTATTATAATCTTACTAAACACAGTCTAACCCAAGTCTTATGCTAATCTAATAGGTAGAAACTGAGTTTTTATGAAAAATATTGGTTTCTATGTTAAAAAGAAAGAATAAAAATTTTATAACGTATCTTTTGTAATTTTTTCTTATATGATACTGTTAAAAAGTTTGGTATTTAAAATTTTTACTTAGATATGTTTTAGAAATGTTTAAAAATTTAACCTTATTTTATCTATTATTATTTGTTTTAGATAGAGGATCATGGTCAGTCAGCTGTAATAGAATGTTTTCTTGGAATTTCCTGTGATACTATAATATTAATTGAAGAAAGCAATAGGGAAATAATTTTTGCTTGCCCATGTAGTTCAATTATTGGCTGGTCTTTATTAGGAAACAGGTACATGTTTATTTTAAAAAAAATTTAATTATACTTTTTATAGCATGCCAAACTTTTCATTTCTTATTTTTAAAAATACCTTTAAATATAATTTAAAATAAAATATTTTTAATTTACATTATTTTATGAATCTTATATTCATATTATGTTCAGTGTTGTTTATTGGTTTTGTATTCTAATAAACAATTGTGGTAACAAAATGTTTTCTTTCAAAAATAGTTGAGAAAAATCATTATAAAATAAGAGGAAACCAGTTTTATGTAAAAACATTCAGTTTTTTGAGCTATTTGTCACTGAATGTTTGAGAAGAATTTGTTTATTAAAGTCAGTGGTTTCCAATTTTTTCCAATCTATGTAGCCCTTCTATAAAAATGGAAATTTCTGTACACCCATAATGTATGTAAGTTGACAGTTGTTGTTCCCAAACAATTATAAGAAATTATTATAATTAAAAAAAAATTAAATTATCATATGAAAAAAAATTGTTTTGTAATTAACTACTACAATGATAACAATGACAAATATTCACATTACTGTAGCTTATTCATAGGGATTTTTATTATGTTAACATTATAAATAACCCATTTTACAATAACTCAATTGTTTACATTATAAATATATTTCAAAATCAGAAATACTATAAAAGTTGTAGAAAGTTAGTTTTTTCTAGAAAAGTTTGAATTTCCTACATATATAGATTTTTTTAAATTGAAAAATTGCTGATTAAAAATTGTTGGCAGCCATAACAGATTTTTTTAATGTACTTTTAGGGATAAGCATTTCTTAGATAAGAAAATGCTGATCTAAATATTTCGATTTCAAATACTATCATACCATTGATATAAAACTTTGATGTTTGAATGAATGAACTTTTTTTTTATTTCAGTGTTGTTGTTTATTTTCTTTACAATTAATGGATTACCACTTATTTCAGACTAAAATAACTGGTAATCAGGTGGGGATAATGATGATTATGATGAGATGAGATAAACAGTCTCTTCTAGCTTGAGTAGTTCTTCTTACATAATGCTTGCCATGTGTGTTTTGATATTTGATGTTGTTGTGTAAGAGGATAACATAATTTTTACCTAAACTAACATTACAAAAACTAAAAGTCAGCAGAAATTGGTAAAAATGTATTTATTTAAAGGTAACCAGTATTTACTTGTATTGTTTTTTCATTGCAGGTGCCAGATTATTTTCTATACATCATTATAACTATATCAAAAAAGTTTATTATAAAAACAAACTAAAAACAAACTAAAATACATTTAAAAAATTGGAGTCAGGACTGATAGCACTATAAAGAATTATTTGTGTTTTAAAAATTAAAGCAATATGGCCAGTGTCATCAACATTTCTTAAAATAGCACTGAATTCAGCAGCAGTTTAGAATGACTTAAAATGTTTCTAAATACAAAGCATTTAAGATATGGTAGAGGTGCAGAATTTTTTGAGGTCTCCAAATTTTTCTTCAACATACACAGATTTTCCTGAAAATTATTGCACTACTAGTGCACAAAATAAAACAATAATTTTATGAACAAATTAATCATTATTACTACTTGGTTTGAAAATTCAAATTAAATCATAAAAATAATTAAATAGGCTTACTGTATAATTCATTGCCAACACTAAAGATAAATTAACTAATAAAAATTTTTAAATTAAAAGATAAAGAAAAGATTAAGCATGCATCGTTGTCATATGATAGCATATATTATTATAAACTTTATCTGATATGTTGATTAATGTAAATAAAATTACCGTTATCACTGATACTACAAATGACTATTTTTAGCACAGAGTAATAATGGACAAGTCCATTATTACTCTGTGTTAAAAATAGTCATTTGTCCAAAAATACAAAATTTCTATTTGATGATGACAGTTTTTTTTTTTTCTGAAAAATTATTTAAGAAATGCTTCAAATTTTTGCAAAAAAACATTTACAGCATTTTTGACTGATTATTATTATTTTCTTTGAAAAAATAGGCATATTTTTATAATGTTTTAAAATATATTTTGACATTAATATTTTTTAATTTATAATAATTCAACAAAAATTATGAAAAATAAAGGATAATAGTGTTTATAAAATGATTAGATAAAATACTACCACTCAAAACTGGTTATACTTGAATTAAAAACTAAAAATCTATAGTCAGCAATTTTTTACCTCAGTTTTTTTTACTAATATAAGTCTTTTACTTTTGTTTTTGTTTAATGATGCCTGTTCAACATGGATGAAGATGGATGTTTGCATGTATTAAAAAATTGCTGGATTATAGATTTTTAGAGTTTTTAATGACTAGATAGTTTCCCATCATGCTTTATGGGGAACTGTGTAGTTAATGGTTTGGCCTTTTGTCCCAGTCAGGTCAGAGTCTCCTTGTTAATGTTACCCCATGTATTATTAACATAGGGAAAATAATGAAATGTATTTATCTTTCCCTAGGTAATATATTACATTTCCATTGAATGCTACTCACTTATCAGACTGACTTGACTGGACAACATGGCTGACCAAGACAGATGCTTTTGCCATTTGCATCCCAGATATGGAATCATTCCAAAAATTCTGTAATCTTGAAAAAGGTTTCTTTGCTGTCTTTTCTGAGTAATAGAGATCATGATATTCTTTTGGTTTCGTAAATGAGATAAATTCTAAGTACAGATTTTCAATGCTGAATGATATGAAGTAGTGCCATCTGGTCAGCAATCTGACTTTGCATATTATAATAATAAAATTAATAACATCAATAAATAATATAAGAATATTACTATTAATAATAATAATAATAATACCCTAACAATAAAAAATAATTATAAATAAGAAACATTACAAAATCATTTGCAAACACATTGTAATGTGTTTGCAAATGAAGTCACAAACAGACAAAAATATTAATAATGATAAAACTCATATTTAGCTGTTTTTTTGAGACAATTCAGAAAAGTTTTTAAATGCAGTTTATTTGCAAATTTTCTGAGTGGGAAATTAGTCAGTATTTCGTTTTAATTTGAGCTAACACAAAATTTCACATCAAATGGTGTCAAAAAAAGAGTTTTGAAATAAAAAGGGATTTCGTTTTTCAGTGTTTTTTAAAGCTTTGTTTTGTTTCAATTTTTTGTAAAATTTGAAACTGGTTTGATAAGGAAGATCAACTTGTTCTTACTGAAAGCACACAACTGTGTAAATAGGCAGTGATGTAAGAAGTCACTGAACTGATCAGAAACAAAAGTATACACCATTTCAATTTCTTTTTTAAAACCTTAATGTCCCTGCATTTTGGTGAATATTCCCAATTAATGTCTCTTGGTTTAACCAAGACACTGGTTTATTTTATTGTAATGTTTTTGCTGCTATTACCATAATATTAATTTCTACCACAAATTTCCCAGAACTGCTGTTAATTTCCTTCAAACCTTGTTTTGTGTAGTTCACATTTTCTACACCTATATGGCTACTTGTAATAAATTTACAAAACTGTTTGAAGGCATTTTTATATATAATGATACAGTACTTGAAAGAAGTTAAAAAGAAATTATTGTGATTGCAGTGGATGACCTAATGCATGAAATCAACTTAGGTTTAGCTTTTAATTTCAACTTAAAATAACCCCTCTGAAATATTGAATTAAATTTATTCTGACCTCTTGCGATATTTTTAAGCAAGGTGAGCTAGATGGAAGAAGCATACACCATATGTATGAGGAATGATCAAAAAAGTTTTTGTTGGAAGGAATGTATGGCCACGATAAACCACGTTTTTTTTTAAAACTCTTCTGTCCTATGGGCACTAAGATCTCTTAGCAAACCAATTAATGGGTTTGGCCATGTCCACAATGGGTGGCCAGGTGGTGAGGGACAGGACCCAACATATCTAGATGGACCACCACCTGAAAAATTCCTGGGGCTTTTTGACACATCCAGATTTGATTCCAGGTCCCCTAGAGTGGTAGGTTTCCTGCCACCTTGTCCACTTGGCCATCCACCCATCTGATGAACCAGGTTAAAGATGCTTGCCTGATAGAAGTTGGTTGGCTGCTGCATAAAATAGTCTGATACAGCCTTCTTTGTGTCTTTATTTGACTGGAACTGTTGTTCTCTTGGAATTTTTCAGAGAATCAAATGCATGAAAATGCATGATAAAAGTTCAGGACTGTAAGGCTGGTGCTCCAGAGTCTCTCATTTAAGAGCATGCAATTTCTGCTTGGTGATATTGGCAACATTAGGGTGTGCATTATCATGACCTTCACAGAATTTATATACTATTCCACAATGGTGGTTTTTGGTCAGGTCGTCATCCCCCATACATCTTCACTTCCATACATCTTCACTTCCATACATCTTCACCATTCTGTGATGAATGTCCACTGGTTTGTCTTTCTACAGCCAAGAGCAGGACAATAGCAAATTGGTCTGATTTGGATGCATTTGGTAGCAATGTTGCCATCTGCACATATTCCACACTCAGTTGAGTGAAATAAATATTTTACTTAATTGCATGGCTAGATTACTGGTTTTATATTATCTCACTCTGAGCATGGCACACGTCATACATACAACTACAGTGTTATTCAGTACAGACTTCTCTAAAACCTGGAACTTTTCTATTAAAAAGACATTAGTTATAAATGGAACATTCTAAGTCAAAACACCATTTGAAGCTATAGAATATTATAATTTGGAACTTTTGTCTAGTAATCTAAGACAGGCTGCTAATGGAGGCCAAAAATGTTCGTGTTGTAATAAAAATTTGCTGGAAAAAGTGAGGAAGGTGGTCTCTTGTTAGTTAGCAGTGCCATTGAACAGAAACTTTCTGATTATCCCTTATTTTAAAGCAGATAATGAAAGAATAACTTTTTTGTGTTAAAATAATGGATTAAAGAAAAAACAGCTTTAAGTAAAACATATATTATTTGAATGTTTTCAATATTTAAAAAAAGTTATGGAAATACAGTGAAAATGGAACTGGAGCACATGTACATGGGTTTTTAAATTTGAAAATGTGTTTATTATATTTACATAGTTTAGTATAGTTCTGTAGTTAGACATATCTTAAAATTTAAAATATTCTTGCATGCATACTGTAGTTCCATTTTTATTGCATTCCTGAAGACAACTTTTCACTTCAACTTCAAATAATTTATCATTATTTAAAAAAAATTTTTTCAATTCCTCATTTTAATACAAAGAAAAAAAACTAATTTTTTTGTTGTCTTCTTACCTAATTAGATAATCAAGCTAAAAAAAAGAACTAAATCACTATATTTTATGCAGTTGATATCAGTAATAAACAAAATAAAGCTTTTGCAGTGACTCAGATATAAAATAAAATGTGTTATTTTATTATAGTAGAATTTTTGTAGTTATTACAATAATCAATATTTATATAATGATATAAATTTCAAATAAATTAAAATTAATTTTTTTATAGTTTAAAACTGTTTTATCATCAAGGAGAATGTATTGTAATGCATTCAAGGGACTCTGATTTCACAGAACTTCATGAAATTATTGCTAGATTATCTTGTGTAACTGCTGGTTGTGAAGTAAATTTTGATACATAAATTATTTTTCTTAAAGTAATTTTAAATGAAAACTTCTAATTTTTTATTTATTTTTTTTATAGACTCAGGAGTTAATATTAAGGAGAAATAGTTTAGGCCAGTTGGGATTTCATGTACAGTATGAAGGAATAGTTACTGAAGTTGAAAGTTACGGATTTGCTTGGCAAGCTGGGTTAAGACAAGGAAGTAGATTAGTAGAAGTAAGTTTATTTTTATATATTTTTTTATCAGGTTATTTATTTATACAATCAATGTCTTAATATAGTAACTGTTTATTTAGATTTGTAAAATTGCTATATCAACTCTGACATATGATCAGATGGTTGATCTACTGAAGACATCCATGACAGTTACTGTTACTGTGATACCCCCATTTCCTGATGGTTCTCCTCGTAGGTAAGTATATGTAAAATGTTATTATTTAATTAATTATAAAAGTAATACTAATTTTATAAATAATATAAAAAAAAGAAATTGGAGACATTCAAAATGTAAACACAGCAATACTTTTGTAGTATGAATTTTAACAAATATATTATTAATAAATGTTTTATTTTTAATCAATACATAGAATCTTTAGAATGGATTTTTTATTGTACTAATAAGATTTAGTAATTAACCATTTAATTTAGAACCACTCCATATCTTCAGAAAATATTCAATAAACATGAAAACTGTTTATATCTGTATATGTAAAAATGATCTAAGGAAATTGAAAAAATTAATACTTCAACTGATACAAAGTTATAGAAAAATATTCTAATTCACTTTCAAACATTTTCACTTGAAATAGCTCAAGCATCCTTTTCAAGTCTTTTTGAGCTTGAGTTGATTCATATGAGAGCATTTACATTAAAAATGTAATTCACATTGTAAATTAATATTTTTAACTCTCTAATATCAGTTGAAATATCACATTCTGATGTGCTCTAGACACTTATATAAGGATAAAAAGTGATTTCCAAATTAAATAGTCGATAACAGTATTATTTATTTTATACATATTTAGAGTTTTGCTTTCAAATTTTTATTAAATTAACAAGCATTATTTATAAAGTACATAATAGAATTTTGATTTGTAATAGAAAACAAACTTTAAAAGTTGTAACTTTTACAGTATTTCTACTACTCATATGTAATATATTGAATTTTATTATTTATAGAGGTTGCATGCTTCAAAATTGTAGTTATATGAATAATAATTCCATGGGTGATTATGAGAATGTGGAAAACTATGTTAGTGAAGATGAATCTCATAAAAACAATTCAAATCAAAAGATAAATGCCTTTCCACAATGTCAAGTGTCAATAAAGTAAGTTAGCTATATAAATTTTATTTTTTACTATCATATTTTTGAATTAATGTATACTATATATAGTTTAGATGATTTTTTGACAAAATAAAAAATTTGTAAGTTTATTGGAGAGTTATTCAAATAAAATTTTTTTTATGATTAACTGTAATCAGTATTTAAGACATTTCTATAGAATTAAACTTTATATTAAGTAATTTATTTTAACATATGATGTAATAATTTGTGTAAGAAAACTTTATTATTTTGAAATGACATGAAATCCTTTTTAATTCAAATTTGGATAGTTTGAAATCTTGTTAGTTCATAACTGTACTATTTCTTTCATCCATAGAGATAGAGATTCACATGTTAAGGAATTCAGTTAGTTTGAAATATGGCTACTTTGAAATTTGAAGTGAAAATTGTGTCTGAACTGTGATATTCATACATTAACTCATTTGTTTAGATTGAAGAGCTTTCATACTATAAGAGAACAACAGGCCAAGAACAACTCTAATCTGGTCAATATGGCTTTGCTTTTACAGTAACATTTCAGGTGTCACTGCAGACTATCCTTTTTCTCTTATCTCATAAAATATGGCTGGGTTTTGGGATTATGAGATTGGGCTACAAGTAGTAGATTGAGCTATTTTTAGGGCTCTTGGCTATTACATTTGGGTGACTTTACTAGTTTAAAAATAATTTAGGTTATATTTTGTGGAATTCTGCTTTACTTTTTATAAAACCTATCTGGCAACCTGTGAGGTTCCCACCAGACGTGCTGCTTACCTGCAGTTTATTTATATTATTATTATTAATTAACAAAAATAGCATTCTGTTTTTGTAGCCATATTCTTCCATTTGTTTAATAAATTATGTCAATTACATGGCATTTGACATATTGTATAGAAATGTGTAAATCTCATATAATTTAAAGTCATGATTATTTCTTTCCATGAATTTTGAACTAATGAGGACTTCCTGTATATGTTTTAATCAAAGCTGCCATAGCATAAATAAGATCAGTTTTATATTTATTCAGACACCCATCAACAGGAACTTAATAATGAAAGCAATGCATTGTTAAGTCCCATATACAGAAAAAAACATCAGTTTACTAAGATTTGACATAATACAATAAATGATAAAAAACATTCTACTATTGTTTTATAGATATCAAAAGAGAAATGTATCAAAATAAACTGTTTCAAATTTATATCAACAGAATACTGTATCTCAGCATTGCACACAAAGTCACCATCTAACATTGCCATCATGTTTCTAAGTAACATCAAACATTCTGTTTGGCATTATTTCTATTAGGCTTTGCAGATATTTAGGTTTTGGTTTGTCCCAAGAATTGGCAGTTGTAGCTTTGAGCTCAGTAATGCTTTGAAACTGTCTTCTATCTTTATAAACTGCTCTTGCCAGCATACCTCAAACATTTTCCATGGGGTTTAGGTCTGGACTTCTGGTAGGCTAGTCCATAACTTTTATATTATTGTTTTTGAATTATTATTTTCCATTGTAGACTTTGAGTTGTGCATAGGTGCATTGACCTGCTGGAAAGTGTAACTTGAGTCATAATGATGGGTCTAGCTTTTACCAAATAAACATGGAGCATGTTTTAATAATCTTCTGAATTCATTTTCTGAGTTATAAATGCTAATTGTGTTGTTTTGTTAAAGCCCAAAATACCCCATACTATCACTGATCCACCACTATCATCACTATCCTGCCTCTTTGAAAACATCTCTGGCTGTTTTATTGGATTATTCCAGTAATAGGCCTAACCATCTGGGCCATCCAGATTAAACTTCTTGTTACTAAACAGTATTTCAACCCATTCACTGCTCCAGCTTGGGTATTTGCATGCCCAATAAGTCTTTTTTGTTTGCAATGGTTTAGTAGCTTTTTTCCTGTATTTTAGAGTAAATGATTTATGCACAGATCTCCATACAGTTATGTGGCTTCAAGACAATTCTCATTCCTTCTTAATTTCTTTGTTGAGTTAACTTTTTTGGTGTAACTCAACACTATTTGCCTACATGCCCAGGAAGTTAGATTAGATTTAGGTCTGGCCTTCATTTTTAAAATGTATTTTTTCTGTTATCTTGATAAGTAATTGCCTGTAGTTGATTTTGGTCTGTCAATGAGTGCAGCAATTTCCCTTACTTATTTTCTTGCTGATTTATATGCATCAATTTGTCCTTATTCATAAAGAAATAAAATTTTTCTTTTTCCCATTTTTAAAACTGCAGTTCATACACAGATCTTTACATCATAGGGTAGTTGCCTGTATATTGCACACTATTTATATAATATTGTGGTATTTTAGTTTATATCATGGAAAGGTAAAAATTGTCTGGATAAATTTGAAACAGTTTATTTTGATACCTTTAAAGCAACGGTACCATGTGTGTTTTCACCATTTATGTATTATGTCAAACCTTATTAAATAAATGTTCTTTTGTATATATTGGACTTAAAAAATGCATTGCTTTCATTATTGAGTTGCTCTGGAAAATTTAAAAATATTGCCAACCATTTTGCCAGTTTAAAATTTTTTTTCACTTAAAATTATTTATCACTATTAGTGTGAACCGCCGGGGAGGTTGGAGGTCTCCCTTTCCGGCGACAGGTCGTTAAACCTGCTCACTGTCAAGATGGCTTAAATGTTTCTTTTTCCCTATCCCGCGGTAACGGGATTTAATTGTTCGGATCGAGTGGAGGAGGGAGGAGTGCCGTCGGTAAGATGACAGGCAATATACGAGTAAAAGAGGACACCAATTTATCAAGATAACAACGATTTATTAGCTACATAGATATTACAATAACTAATTTCAAGGGAAAAATCTGAGTCTCTAAAATACGAAGGGCCGAGAGAGAGTTCACAAAAATTTGTTCCATACCTCTTTCTGATGATAATCCTTTGAGGAAAAAATTTATGTTTCTCGTTGAGGAAAATACGATTAGACGTAATATTTGAAGGATCACGTAGGGTTCGTAGGACACAGTATTCGTAGGATATAAGATTCTTAGGACAATTATTTGTAGGATATAATATTCGTGGGACACAGTATTAAAGTGACGGCAGATGAACGACTCCCCCGAGAGGGGGAAGCAAGTGGCTTTTATAGTTTCGTCGTGGGAGAATGGTCATGTGACCAATTGTTGTGAGGTAAAAGGTACACGGATGGGTCAAAGTTGTCCCCGGGCCTATGCTAACTATCAACTTAGGAGTTGGAATGTGGGATTGTTTTCGAAATGGGCGGATATTTACTTTGAACGAAAGGGGAGATTGGAATTTTTCCCTTTTTTAAGTTAGGTTTTAGTTTAGAATTTAAAGGAAAATTTAATTGGGGGTTTAGAAAAATGCGGGATATTAATCGGAAAATTCGGTAAAAATTCCGGATTTCACACTAGTTTTACTTATTAGTTAATGCAGGTGTTGGTAGCCTTATCAGTTTGGTCTCTGGAAAGCAAAAGTAACATGTTAAGTTGTCATTTACAAGGAGAAAGCCAAGCATTCAGGTCTCCAATTCAAATGAAACTTGGTGAGAATATAGCCTTAATCACAAATAGTACCTTGTCCAAATGACAGGACTCACTTCTCAAGTATTTCCCAAAAATGGACCTCTGAAAATTGAGTGTTTATCTTATAAGTTTGTGAAAGTTTCACATTTCTTAGCAGCGAATACAGAGTGGATAAAATGCTTTGTACTGATACTGGATGGTTTAGGTTTAAACCTTTGGAATTTTAATTTAGTTTTTTTTTAATGTGTAACATGATTATTTTGTTATTTTACCACATTATTAGCTTTATTATTCCACAGGTTTAAAACTTATATAACACGATTAAAAATTACAGCATTTCCTGTTTTGCAAAAAAAGTCTCTGTAGATATAATTCTTATGTTATTAAATAAAATTTTTATTTCAATCATATTTATTTTCAGGTATGGTGATATTGTGATATTTGAAGTGTAACAAAAATGAGTGCATGAGGAAATTGTCCATAATACTAACAATTAAAAAAAAAATTATAAATTTCATATCACATTTTTTTTCGTTTTTGTGCAGGAACATCTGAAGCTTATTTGCTTGTGAGGACATTATATCACAATCAAAAATATGTGAAAATAAATGTGAAGAAATAAACACTTTTACATTGTTAGATAAAACTTTAAATCAACATGGACTTGCTTTCTCTAAACAGGAAAAATGACATCATAATTTTTAATATCTTGTTTTATATATATATATAAGCTTTAAACGTGAGGAATAATAATAATGCTAATGATGCAATAAAATAATAATGTTACTCATTTAAAAAAAACCAAAATTAAAATAAAATTTTGTCTGGCTTTCTATTTGTTAGCAATAGGAATCATTTATGAATAACTTTTTTAATGAATAATTCTGAATAACATGTTTGATCATAATGTTTAAGTCATGTCAAAATTTTTTTTAGTCTACTGAGAAAGATCAAAGTGAAAAATATCACAACAAAAATTCCCTCAAATTTTCTGTTGCTAAAAATTTTCAATCTAGAAATATTGGACAGCATTTCACAAAACTGCTTTCAGTTTTTGATGTCACTTCCTATTTTTCTGCCCAAACTTACCACGTGAAGTCATTAAATCTCTAGGTCTGTGCACACAGGAGTTAGACATTCTGCTGTCTTTCCTGAAGTATGTTTTGTGATACAATTTCATACTGAATGTTGAAATAAGCAGACTAGAGTTCTTATCACCACTTGCTATTGCCAATATTATATTATTATCACCAATTTAATAAACATATCGCCAAGTTGCTATTTTAGTGCTATGGAGCGCAACCCCTACATTATTAAGTTATTGATGGGTGTCTGGATAAATAAGAAACAGACCTTATATTTCATTCTTAGTTATAATTTGATTTGATGAAATTATAATTAATTAACTTGATTTGCACTTAAAAAAATGAAAAATTGTCCTTATTTACTTACTAATTTTCAAATTATTTTATATATTTTGCTTTTTAATATTTGTAAGAGGCAATCCTAAAATAATTTGAGTTTATTATTATGGATAAGCGAGTTCGAAATAATTTGAGTACTGTATTTTTAAAAAGTTGCTTTACGATCTTCTGCTATAAATTACAAATTAAAGCAGACAGTTTTATTAGTCTGTTTTTTTGAGAAGGAAAACATATTATAAAATGCCATAATTAAATAATAAATATATTATGATTTCTTCTAATAACCTATTGAATTTTTTATTTCAAAATAGTTTTAACAGCTCAAAATATATGATGAATAGTTGAATAGTTTTGTGTATGTATGTACATTAAATGAAATACATTCATTTTGAAAAAGTAAGCTATATGTTAATTTGGCCTCTATCTCAAGAACTACTTGTCAGAACAGCATGAAACTTAATATACAAAGGGATCAGCAAGGTAAATTAGGTCAGAAGAGAGCCATTAGCAAAAATGTTAAGAAACATTGGTGTAATCTATGATTGCAAATATTGATATGTATTGCATTATTAACTTCTTGAAAACAGTAGTGTACAGTGTTTCTTCTAGTGTTGACTATTATGGGAAGATGGTTGAATATTGTTGAAATGTGCATCTGTTGATATATTGAAATAACAATTTTTTAGTTAATGATAAATGTTTATCGTTATTTATGTTCATTATTATTTATTGTTATATTAAATTGTTTTGCATTCCAATCAGAACTCAGGAATGAAACCCCCAAAGACCTTTCGGAATGACAAAAACCCTGTATTGTTTTTGTAAGATATTGTTTCTAATGCATTCTGCATAAAATCTTTTCTTCAATTAATGATGTATTAAAAAGAATTTCAATATATACTCTGTATTTCACATGAAGCAAAATTAATAATTTAATTTGAGTAATTACTATTACATTAAAATATTATATTTCTATATACAGTGTAGGGTTTATATTTCTATATACAGTGTAGGGCCATTAAGACGCGGGCCAGTAATCTGCGAATTCACTTAAGCCGCACAAAAAGCTTGGATCCTAATTTTTTGACACTATGGATCATATGGACCTGTACATGGCCTCTCAAACACTTAAGACAAGTGTTGCAGCTGTCATTTTGAATGTCCGTGGTTGATGTGCTATGCACTATCGCAGATAAATGCTGGCTTATAACTTCAAAGAGGTTTTTATAAAAGATTAGTCTTTTATTTATCAATAAACAATAAAATAACTTACAAGGAAATTCAAATACAGTATTAATCTGTTTTATCCACGCTGAGTGTCAATGTTATGGAGGCCGCCATTGTAACCAATTCACAACTTACAATGCTACAAAGTTAATTTGCAGTAAATCCACAAAGAATTGACTTGTATTTAAGTACAGTGTATTATTTTTAATTTGATAATCTGATAAAACTCAAAATTGTATAAATATGAGTCACAAACCCAACGTAAATCACTTCAGTTTCTGAATCTATAGCGTTCACATCATATTTGCTTAAAAAATTTTTACGCCATGAGTAATAAACGTAAACACGCATTATCAAAAAATAATTAAGCCGCGGTTAAGCAGTTTTGACCCCAATCACTGCGGCTTAATGGCCCTACACTGTAATAATAATAAAGTTAATACTTTATATTAATATCAAACATTAATTTGTGTAAGATTAATCAGTATTATTGGAATTTTTCAGGCATGATAATCATATGAATATGAGATCTACAAATTTATATAAAGGTAGAAATTCTGCAGCTACTTCAAGGATATCTGAGGTAAATTTCAACATTGTATATGTAAATGTTGATTATATTGCTGTGTAAACATTACATATTATACTATTTTAATTACAGAATACTCCTGAGAAACAATTTCCAGAATTAAAAAAAAACATTCACCCAGTTCATCATACTGTTACACCAGGAAAGAACATGTCACAAGATGCATCAATATGTAATCAATCAGTTCCTTACTCAACTATTGTTACAGATCATGAACGTGATCTACCATCATTGTCTTCAGTCAGAAATGTTAACACTGTTCGAGATCATATATCAAATCATAATTCTGTTCCAAGTCATCTTCATCACAGTTTTCACAATCATGGTAGGAATATTCGGGAACAGAACAGACTAACTCATGTAGGAAATATGGTTGTTGCTCGCAGTGAACTTTCTTTATCAGATGTAACTCCTTTCCACAGTCGGTCACATTCTCATCATTCAGTTGTTGGTACACCATCAGCTGGATCAAGAACTACATCGGAGACAAATTGTGGAAATCAAAACGCATGCTCTCAAAATGTTAATTCTTCTAGAACTGACTTTATAGACCCGTCTAAAAGATCTCCACCATTACAAAAAAAATCAGATTATCAAACAGATAATTGGTCAAAAATTGTGTGCAATACAGGTATTTATTTAATTATGATTAATACAGTAAAACCTGCCTAAAATGGAAAATCTCCTAAATAAAAAAAATTATTTGGAATAGAACAATTCTCTATGTTAAATCTTACTATGAATTGGAAACCTGTCAACACAGAAATGGAATAGGTTTTTGGGTAAGAAGAATGCAACTTAATCTGGATAAAGCGGAATAAATGTTTCACTTTTAGACAAATAAATAAAATCACATCACTATAATGGTCATTGCAGAGCGTAACAAACTTTATTACAAGAACAATTTCTAATCTTATCAGAGAAATGAAAGTCATGTGACAAGCAGACATGCTGACACAAGGTTTTTGTTGGAATTAATTAGAGACAGAATTGAACCTTTTTTAAAACATTTTTTATTCTTTGAGTACTAAGAGGGTCTTTTATCATGCCAGTTGTGGGTTTGGAATCATGTTAAATTAATTTGAATTAAGTCTAGTAATAACATTTACTACATAAATAAAAGTGATTTTACTACAAAAAATAAATGCAACTGTGACATTTATAAGATGTAGTTTAAAGATTAAAAAAAATTATTAAAACTTGTTCAGAACAGAAACCTATCAAAACAGAAAAATAATTTTGTACCATGCAATTCCAATTTACACAGGTTTTACTGTACATTATTTGATTAGAATATATTTGTGGTTATCTTTTGCTATATTTTATTATATTTATATTTATCATTTTATTATCATTTTATTACAACTGTTGTGTTGTTTAAATTAATTTTTTGATGCATTAAATGATTTAAAATATTACTCACTTTTCTAACCACTAAAAGGGGTTTTTTGAACAAATAAACTAAATTGTTATATCCTTCAAATCTGACATTCCCTTGAGTTCAAGAATTACTCAGAAATAATTAATTCTCAGATGTTTTATTTATATGCATTTTGGATCAAACTTTTGCTCTATTGAAAATTGTACATATTACTGAAGAGGGATCAACAAGAAAGTTTGATTCAAAATGCATATAAATAAAACATCTGAGAATTAATTGTTTCTGAGTAATTCTTGAACTGAAGAAAACATCAGATTTGAAGGACATAAATTAAATTATTTGTCCAAAAAACCCTTTTAGGTGGTTACAAAAGTAACAATATATCCAGTCAACTACTGCTAATTTTTAGTGTCTTACTAAAATATTACTATTTTAGAACCTTTCTGAAACAAAATTTTTCTTTTATATTAGATAGCAGTATGAAAACTGTGAGCAGTAATCACAGATAATGATAGCTTTAATTATATAATAAAGTATGAATTATTACAAATATAGAATTATTATTTGAAGTTAATTTATATACATATGAATTATAGTTACAGTACTTCCATAGATGGAAAAAGTGTTTTTAAATTTTATATTGTTCTTTTGAAAATTATCCATCAAAAGATTAATATCTTGCTGTAATCTGTAATGATTAATATAAAGTAAAATATTTTGTGGATTTTAAACCATAAATTAGAAAACTTACTTAATAAAGTATGAATTATTACAAATATAGAATTATTATTTGAAGTTAATTTATATACATATGAATTATAGTTACAGTACTTCCATAGATGGAAAAAGTGTTTTTAAATTTTATATTGTTCTTTTGAAAATTATCCATCAAAAGATTAATATCTTGCTGTAATCTGTAATGATTAATATAAAGTAAAATATTTTGTGGATTTTAAACCATAAATTAGAAAACTTACTTAATATAGTAAACTGATACAGTAGAACCTCGAAAACTCGGCTCTCGATAACCCGGTACTTCGGATAACTCGGCCACACCCTGGCAGGGCAAAAAAATCCTTAGTTAATTAAATTTCATTATATACAGCTTTATAAAAGTATAAAAGCTCTCATAAAGTATTTTTCTGAGGTCTGTCTTGTCAGGTAAATTACTGTACACAGTGTATTCATTAATTTTCATTTTCATGTAGTAAAGGCTCTGTGCCTTCATAAAGGACGTACTTTTCCTTTGTTTAAGGGTATTTGGGCAGTTTAATCTCTGTTATATTCTGAAGTAAACAATACATACAAATACAGTACAGTATTTTCTGAGGAAACACTCGTACTTATTTTTTTTAACCCCATTCCCGATAACCCGGCATTTTTATAAACTCGGCCACCCTTCGGTCCACATTAGGCCGAGTTTTCGAGGTTCTACTGTATTAATAATTTCTGTTCTTGCTTTCCAAAAAAGGTTACTTAACATATTAAATGCCATGATAGAAAGGCATAAAATATTATGATGGGCCATACTTTTTTTATGGATAAAATAGCACAAAAATTATGGTCATTTAATATAATTTTGTTTCCATTGTTAAAAATATTTTTATTGTTTTTTATTTTTAGGCATGTTGTAGAATTGCAACATGTGGTCTAAATGATTTTATTCTGATCATGTTATACATGAATTTAAACTTGATGAGAATACAAGATGGTATTCTCAACAAGTTTAAATTCAATAGAATTTCTATTACCTAAATAGATAAATTCTAGATTGCTTAAATGGACAGATACAAATCCAAGAAAAATAGAATAATCACTAAAATCTACTGTTACTTTCTCAGCTGTTGTACAGAGGGAAATTATGGCGATCAGGCAAAAAAATGACTCTCCAGATTTTTACATTTTTAGACTTAGGACACCTTGAATCGAGAAATGCAAAAAAATTTGGTGGTAATTTATGTATGTATGGATGTTAGTTCATGTGTGTGACATGATTTTGTTCACTCTGTTTGCTTAATAACTCTTATGTTTTTTGTCAAAAATTTCTGAAATTTTGCAGAGGTTTGTAGAGATTTGGTTTGCAGAGGTTTGTTTTTTTAAAACAAACCTCTGCAAACCTCTGTATGATATAACCATCCTTGGTTATATTATAATTAAATATGTCTGGTAGAGATTGGTCTGGAGGCTTGAGTAGTGTAACTGACAATGCATCCACCAGTAAGTGGGAGTTACGGGTTTGAGTCCCACTCTGGGCCAATTCTTTTCTTCCAAAATATTATAAATTATTTAATTTAATTATAATTATTAAATTTAATAAGAGATGGTGCCTAATGTTTCTCTCTAGTGACAAATTATTTAGAAATTAATTAAAAATAATCATGGAAAGTAGTCCGATGTAATCCGATAGTTATTTGGTTTATTACTAATATTTTGGGTTTTGAGATGTTTGTATAATATTTGTGTTGTACTATGTATTATTTTATCATCATTAAGAAAGTAATCATCTGATCTTGATGTAATTTCACTGGAAGACAGTTCAACTCATTACTTTTTGTAGTAATACACAGTTGACAATAGCAAACTATTCATGCATGCACAAGTTCCACAATCAGAAAAAAGATGGAGGAAAGCAACAATCCAATGGGATGTCTATATGGACATGCTGGAAAATTATATACTCCCCAGTTACAAGACAAGCTAATGCAGATGCAGTCTTTCAGCAAGATGGAAATGCCACCACATTGGTCAATTGTTGTTTGTGCCTTATTAGAGTTCTAAATTTGGTGCAGCAAGGAGACCTTATAAACTGGTCATCAAATTCTCCAGATCTTGTAATACCTGACTTTATTCCATGAAGACACATTAAAAGAATCGTTTATGGACAGTGACCAACAGATAAAGATGATTTAAAAAGTAAAATTGTGGGCACAATTTTCTTAGTAACACCAGAAATGCTGGAAATTACATGGAATGCTATCTCAGCTTAGTATGAAATTTGCATAACAAGGAGAGGTAGTCACGTTGAAGTCTAAATAAAAGCTTCGTGTCTAAAATTTTACTCAAATCAGACAATTACTTTCTTAGTTATAAGGTTTAAGATTTGTCAGGATTTTATGGAACACCCCGTAAAATAGTTTTGTTATTGGTTACCACAAAAATATAGGAACCTGCACTCAATAAGATGAAAGAAAATATTTGGCATAGTGTAATCTCCTGACTTGGTTTACCAATTGCAGCATGATTTAACATTTTCTTATCTTAAATAAGTTAAGACATCTTCATGTCTTATTGTATTCAACCTCCAAATATGCTTGTATGACTCTGATATTTATCATTGTAATCTTTATATAGTAAAATTTATTTTGTTTATTTATTTATTTATTTTTACTACAAACTGTCAAAATTAATATTGGAGGCTCCCTATAACTGCAGGACTCCAGGCTGAAACCTTTTGCCTGTGCCAAACAACCTTGATTTCATATTAGATTCTCTTTGTGAGTTGATATTTCTGAATATAAAAATTTAGTTGGTGGATCTTTTGAAATTGTTAGTTTTAAATGTCATTATTTCATACTTCACTCTAAGGACTTAGCATCAGATTTACATTATTTAAAATAATTTGTATTGTAGATGTGAGCATTTATCTTTATTTTTTTTACATAAAGTGTCTTTTTAGTTAATGATTTAATTTTACTTTTCAGTTTCAAATTCATATTGTAATGTGATCTTACATAAACATAATCAAATAAGTGGTTTGCATGATGTTAATTCTGAAATATCTAATCCGCGATCTCATAGTCCAAGATCCTCAACAAGGTAAAATTTATTTATTAATAAATAATTTTAAATTATAGTAATTAAATTAATTACTGAAATTGAAATCCTTTTTAATTAGATTGAAATTTTATTTAAAGTTTAATTATTTGTAGAAACCAGTCTGACCTATCACATTCTAAACTAAATCGATTACGTCCAGGAGTAACATCTGTCAGTAATCGTCCACCAAAGATTTCTTCAAATTTAGCTGTAAGTGGAAGTAGTGGAAGCAGTTGTAGTGGTAGCACAAGCACTTTACAAGAAGATTTACTTAAATTAATAAATCCAGAATTTTTAGATAGTGACAGTAATAGTGAGGTATGTTATTAATTTAATTATATTATTATTATTAGTAAATTAAGTATTAATTTAAGATTGAATTTATTTCTTAAAAATTCAGACATCAAAAACTAAAAATGAAAAGGATTGTTGATGTTTCAGAATTCAATGTTATAATTATAGGACAAACTAGAGATCAAATATTTTTTTCAATTTCTAAACAATACTGTTGAGATTTTATATCTGTAAACTAATGACAAGTACTGTAAATTAATATCTTTAAACATTGCACAAATAGATAAACTAACAAAGTTGTTGGAATTCTGTTGCTTTTATTCTATTATTTATTTTTCAATCAAGATAATGGAAATGATTTAGAATTAGTATAATTTCATTAGAGTTTTTGTTACAATCACTATTTATAAATCTTTATTCATTGTATTTAATATAAAATTGAATTGTCAAAATACAATGAATAAAGATTTATAAATAGTAATTATAACAAGTAGTGAGTTTTTAAAAATCCAATTACAAAATTAATTAAATATAGTTGTAAATGGTAGAGAATTATGATGATTGGTTTGAATGCTTTTCAAAAGAAATGTCCAAAAAATTGATTTTATTTTCAAAATAACTAAAATTCAACATTTGAACTTAAACCAAGATAAAATTAATTTGAGGTTTGTCATTATGTTTTAAATATGAATGTAATATAAACATTCAAATTTTTTGTCATTAAATACTAACTTTAATTTTTATGTCTGTATTCACTACAGTCATCTAATTGATGATGTATAATTTGTTTGATATTAGTTTTTGTAGGATTTTATTGAAATGGAATTCCTGCAAATAGTCTTTCCTGTTTGATTTTTTGAAAATCTTTGAATCTGTTAACTAATCTTAATGATTACAGAAAATGATAGAAATTTAGTCAATACTATTACACCAATTAAAAATATCTATTAGTTTATTATTATTTTTTTCTTGTTTTGATACATTTTACTTACTAATGGAAAAGAGGTCTATTTAAAACTGTTGCATTCAGATATTGCTTCCTTTTTTCATTTTTTATCATATCAGTCATACATTTCTGAAACAGTCCTTATATAAACTATTTTCAGATGTTGCTAATTAAATATAGTTATTTAGATAATGCAATGATTAAGGAATTGTATTGTAAATAACAGTTAATATCTGTGTATGTTTTTTATTCATAATTATTGAAAATGAATAGAATTTTAATTACTTTTGTTTATTTACCTAGAACATTTGCAATAGATGTAAAGATCTAGATTTATAATCTAGGCCAGGGATTCCCAAATTTTTCAAAAGAAGGGCCATATTACTAATTTTTTGACAATATCAACAGACCAGACCAATTTAATATATATATAATATATATCATTTATTTTGGGAAGTACAGATAAGACTTTAGTATTTATTAAATAAAAACAAACTTGACAAAAATAAAGTAGAATAATAAATGATTCTAACACCAACAATAGTAAACTAGAATTACAAAATGAAATGCAAAATTCAAATTTACAAAAAATATTTTACTTGAATCATTTAATTCACAGCATTAATTATTTTTTGTAAATTTGTGATTGTTTCTAGACAATTAAAAAAGATATGGGCACCAGAAAGCCACATTGTGAGCTGGATCAGGCCCATGGACCTTAGTTTAGTGGCCCCCTGATCTAGGCCAATGATTTTGAAAATGTTTTGGCAAGACACATTGGTTTACATCAAGAGTTGACTAAATGTGCTATGAATATTATAAAATATATTTTTAAAATGGGAAGAAACCCATTTGTACAAAGATTTATTCCATCCATAATCAACTAATAGCTAGCCTAGGTCTATAGAGCAACAGTTATTATAATTCACAGCTATTCATATCTTAAAATATATTAATGTTTTATATTTTGTACATGAAATGTGCAAAACTTTACATTTTTCACAGTACACTGTAAATCAAAAAAGTTCAAGAACCACTGATTTAGGGTAACTATACCTTACTTGATCTAACAAGATGTTTGATATATACATTTTAAAATAATCTTGCAGTAAATGTTTTTAAACTAAATAATTATATAGTTGAATTTGAAAGTTTTCCATATGTGGTTTTCGTAAAGTATTCAAAACCACTAGATTTAACCTGAATCATCTTAGCCATTTTATGCAGGTCTTTTGACAGTAAAAATTTTAAATTAGTTAACACAGAATGTATTCAAATATAAATTTCTGAAAAGAAAATCAACAGTAATTAGTGATAAGCAAAGAAACATTATCAGTTAGGGAATTTGTCATAAAATAAGATCTTGTATTACAGGAGACGCCTACAATGCAAGATAGGAGGTTAATGCTCCTATTAGGAGCTTAATATAAAGTACATAATAAAAAAAACAGGTATTGGAGTCAGTACATTTTTATTGACTCTGATTCCTCTAGCAACAAATTTACTTTTGCTCTGACTCCACAGCTCCGGATAAAACACAGTCATGACCATTTTAAATTAAAAATTACAAATATAAAAGGTTTACACAGTGTCACTTTTATATCTTACTGAATTTATCTGTATATAACAGTGGTTCCCAATTAGTTTTTCCTGTGTACCACTTCAAGAAAGAGCTCAAACTCGCGTACCCCTTATAGCAGAAATTCATATTAATCCATACTAATATTATAAATTTGAAGATAATTCTGTCTGTCTGTTACTTTTTCATGTCTAAACCGCTGAACAGGTCTTAATAAAAGTTGGCACAGAGATAGCTTACATGTTGGACATGGACATAGGCTACATTTTACTGCAAGAAAATATCTTACTCCCACAAGAAAATTCAACATAACGCGGGCAAAGCTGTGGGTAGACAGCAAGTGATTAATAGATAAGTTTTTTACATTTACCTTTAAAATACAGTTCTAATAATAATGAAAATAACATAAGGTTATTTAATTTTAATGTGACAAATGTGCACGATTTTCTTTGCACAAGTTTGTAAAATCTGGTTGCTTTTTGGTCAGCTCCAGTCTCAAGTTATCTTTGAGTTGAAGTCGGTGACGATGTTTAGTTTTCATGTTTGTCATGGCCGAAAATTCGCTCTTGCAGAGGTATGTCGTGCAAAATGGTAGAAAATATTTTATTGCCGCTTCGCTGATATGATAATAATGATAATTGTACAATTAACACAAATTGTGTTAATTGTACAATTTTTGTTTCTTGCGCAAGAATTTCATTTAGGTATTGTCACAAATGCATTTTTTGATGAAATTTCAAGAATATATTTAGTTATAAATAAAAGAATTTGTGCATTCAACATCATGTTGTAAATTGCCAAATTTTTGATGGTCCACCCATTATTTTTTTGATTGCTTCATCTCATGCATTTAAATTTTAAATCGACCGGTTTTAGATTGCCGCACGTTCCCCTTCATGCAATTTCACATCCCCCAGGGGTATGCGTACCACTAATTGGGAACCATTGGTATATAAGATTAACAGGTTTATATGTCATTTATTATACTGCTAATACATATAAAGTTCTAAGAATAAAAATGTGTGTTATTGTAGCTACATTTTTATATAAATGATTTGTGTAACAATGAAGTTAAATGATAAAAAGTAGCAGATACAAATACATATTGCCTTTTTAAAGAGAGTTTAAAATCATTTTTGTATTTTGTTTTATAGCAGTTCTTCTCTTCTTTGACACAATGATCTGCACTCACCACAGCATTATTTTTTATGGACAGTCTATCCTAAATAACTTGGGCTCTGATTCTCACTACTTGGCTGCCATCATTGTAGGCTTGGACAGCTCTGCAATGGGCATGGAAAAGAGGCTTTTAGTGTCCACAGGGCATAAAGTGTTTAAAAAAAGGGGGTCACAGCATTAATTACTCTCAGTACAGTTGAGCTTGAAAGTACTTGGTACATTCAGGCAAAGCTTTTATAAATTATAAGGAGTGTATTCACTTATTAGCTTGTGTCAGATAATGTGGAATGCATTATCTGAGACAGACCTATTCAATTAATCAAGGCTTGGATACTCAAGGTTCTACTCTAGTTATAAAGTTTTTAAAACAAATAGATGACACTAGGGTTTCTCCAACAGGATCCTGGCTGTTTTTTTAACCCAGGAAATCCCACAAATTTCTTAAAAATTCACTTTTTTCTCATTTTGTTTTAAAGTTGAGGAAATTTTGCAAATAGAAAGTACAATTATTAACCCATAAACTGTCAGAATACATTTGTATTTATTAATTTTAAGCCTGTTTGTTAGTTTTTTAAATTTTTGCTTATTATTGCATGTCACAGATTGTCAATAATCAATATGTAGCCTATTTGTGACAGGACTCTGAAAATTCTTTACTTCTCAGAACTTGTAATATCTGTAATAATTGTATTTATGCTGTCTTAATTTTTAACCATGCCCAGTAGCTCCAATAATTGCATTATGTCAGGTTGTGCAAATTGAGTAAGGATACAAACGAGTACGAAGTATGCAAGCATAAAGTTTTTTATCATAAACCTGATTATTAAAGCCAAACGAACTACCGTATTATTGGGCTGTAAGCTCAATGCTGCTATTAAAGCAGCCAAGGTAGACAAATCAAGAATACCAGATGGCAAAAGAAATACTGTAACGCATCTTGAAAATGAGCTAGAAATATTCCAGGCTACAGGTGGAAAAAACACATAACATTCATCTTCTCTTAAATGCACCCACATCAATTGAATCAAAAAGGGCATTCTCAGTAGCAGGACTTTTAGTAAAATAAAAATTAAATTGAGTGATTGTAGTATTGACCATCTTTGCTTTTAAAAACTTATTATAAAAATTTACAATAATATTTTGTATTGTGTTTTATTTAAGAAATGAAATTCTAACTTAGAAGTTTGATTTAAGTTCATTTTTTTCTTTAAATTTTCAACTCAATTCAAAGGCTTTTTTGTTGTAAGCAGTTTCCAACAAACTTTAATAAACTTTTTCTATTTGTGAAAATTTCTATGTAACTCAAAAGTAATCTTTTAT